GTATTCAGTATCTCAGCATTATCATTATTTGGGATATAATTTTTCATTGTATAGAATTGTAGACAAAGAAAGTGTAGATTGTTTCTTGTGTACAGATATACCTTGGAAATTAATTCCTCTTTTAAAAGTTGAATGTAGGGGCAGCTAAGTGGCGCAGTGGATAGAGCACCAGCCCTAGAGTCAGGAGGACCTGAGTTCAAATCCGGCCTTACACACTGACCTCTCACTAGCTGGGTGACTCTGGGCAAGTCATTTAACCCCAACTGCCGCACCAAAAAAAAAACCCAAAAAACGTTGAATGTAGAAAAAATTCAGTTTAATTTGAGGCTCCAGTTATTTGCATTCTAGTGTAAGGGTTTCCTAAAGATATTACCTTCCAAAATATTTATGGAATTAGCTTAGATTTTTTTTCTCCAGAAAATGCAATATATTTTCGTAGAAAAGATGTTTTACTGAATGATATGAAGCCATGCAAGGTTTGAAGTCATTTGGTAAAAAACTGTATTAGACATTTAAAAGATATTGACCATAGTGTCCCTGAACAATAAAATAATCAGAGCACAGGTTTCAGAGCTACCCTGCTACATTTATTTTAAATGCAAAGGTATGTGATCATTGCTTGTAGGGTAAAAAGTTGACTAGTATTATACACTAGTAATTAAAGGTAAAAATTGGCTTGGACTTTTTTCTGCACTTGTTTTTTTGCTTGCCTCAGTGTATCAAATCAGCTTTCTAGAGAAGGCTAATTGATCTTTTCATATACATATTTCCATATACTCCTTTACTGTTCACCAGGCTGAGAAAACAGAAGCAGCTGCCTGCCTCAGTTTTCTTTAGATTTCTCCTACAGACACACATTTCCATGGAAACCTAACAGGTAATAGAAAGAAGAGGCAGAGTTTATTAAATGTCTTCTAGACTGTGAGCATGTGGAAATGTTGCTTATGTGTGTTGTAGGTATAAGCAAAATAATTTGATGGTATAATATATATTGGTATTATATTAGTCTTAATAAAATGTATCCTTTGCCAGATGTGATTTCCTTTCTTTTGGTGTTTTCATTATATGGTGTGTGTATGTAATATTCATATTCCAGGCAAACTGACCAAAAAGCAAGTGACTATTTTAAAAATCATACTTTAAGAAGAAGTATTCTAGATACTCATAATTAAGAAAATGAGTGAAAGAATGACATATGTGAGTTCATATTGAGTAAAATAATGCCTTGCTAAACCATTAAAATAATACATAGTGTTCTCTGGGAACAATTTTTTGGGGATTATGAAGAATTGGTTCAGTTATTTTAAGCATTTATTTTAAGCATTTCACCTAGGCTCAAAATTTTAGGGGCATTTCTGAGTCTTTCCTTCCTTCTTTGATACCCAATCATTTGTCAAATCTTATAATTCTCCTTCTGTGATATGTATCCCCTCTTTTTCCTCTCACACTGACCATGTAATAGCAATCTCTTAGAAGATCTGCTTCCAGGCTTTCCTTTATAATCCATCCTTTACTTCAATCCTGGTTTAGGCCCTCTGTGGACACAGTTGGTGATCTCTTTGCAACTTGGTCTTTGAGGTTTGATATGGTTGAAAATTTGATTACCCTTTGGCCAGTTTGGTGTTGATCCTCTCCATACTTAGCTAGATTGGGCCTTAGTCAAAACATAAATGTTTATTGCCAGGCTCACTCACAAAAACTTTCTAGCTCAAGATTGATCAACAAACATTTATTTATTACCTCCTATAGGGAGCTGTGGATACAGCTACAATAAATGAAACAATCCCTTCTGACCAGGAGCTTTCATTCTAAAGGGGGAGACAATATTGACAAATATATACAGAATAAATACAAAGAGAATAAAAACAAGCACACAGTAGGTACCTACAAGATAATGACGGGATCAGGATAGGCTTCATATAGAAGGTGGTGCTTGAGCTGTGTCTTGATGGAAGAGATGGATTCTGTGATGAGGTGTAATGATTTCCCACATGGCTGATAAGATAGTAGGGCTTGCAAAAGTCTGCACTAGGCCAACATGGCCTTCTATATGCTTTAGGATAGGAATAGTCCCTTCTTCACCTTATTGCTACAACAATCTTCCTTATGTGTAGCTTCTCATCATTATCACTCACCTGCTTAAAATCTTCCAGTGGTTCCTCATTATTTTCAGGATTAAAATACAAACTCCTTAGTCTGGGGTTTAAGGCTTTCTATAAGTTGGTTGTAGTTTTCCAGGCTTTTTTGTAGTAGTCCCTTTACATTTCATATAGACTGGACTACTGGCTGTTTATCAATCTTGTTCTTTTCCTGCCTCTGATATATTATATGCCTTCCATATCTGCCTTTGGAAAGACTTTTCCTTCATGGGTCATCTCAACTGCAAGCTTTTTCCATGAAACCTTCCTCATTGTCCATTTTACTTATTTCACAGTAGGGTTGAAAATAACAGTAGTCTTCCTTATGTTTGTCATAGTACTTTGTATTTCTTCATACTTGTTACGTTCGTCCTTGTATCATATATATTTGTGTATTACCCTTCTGATTGGATCAAAAGCTCCTTAAGGGAAAGTGACTATATTTTTTGTCAACTTTGTATCCCTAAGCCCTTTGACTGGTGTTGCTTTGGTGAACTGAGGAAGGGGGAATAGGGAGGTTTTTGCATGAGATTCTATAGCAAACCACATTTTTTTTTTTTTTACAGTCACATGATTTACTGAAAGGTTAAAGATACAAGATCTCACTGTGTTAATTAGCAGTGTTTGGTTTGTTAGAACAGAATGCTGCCTTAAAGGCCCTTGTTACAATTGTACAGGATTCCCTGAAAGATGAAATAGCAGATCTTTGAGCCTTTGATGATTTTCAAGTGAGGCATAAAACAAAGTCTATGTTTTCTGATAGTATTTGCCAGTATCATAGAAGACTAGTGCAGAGTTAAGACTGAGAGATTCTTCCAGGTGCTTTTGTTTGGGCATAACACGTTGATTCCATAACCTTAGTAAAATTGCAGATCCTCGTAAATGAAATCCATAATCACTCAAGTGAAGGGAAAAAAAAAAGTAGATAAAGAATACCTGCTATTTGTTGATTGTGATAGACTGTGGTATGAATGGCCAATAGAGCAGGTCCAGCATTATGAGTCTCTTGGACAGATAGTATGCATGAACCGAATCAAAGTGAAGGAGGATAGCAGGATGTGTGTATAATCTTGGGGAAACTGAGAAGTTCTTTCACTGGTCCTAAGTTTCTTCCTGAAACAGAGACCTGTTTTTTTTTTTTTATAAACAACAGTTATCATTTGGAAATGCTATATGGTTGCAAATCAGAGTATTACTATCTGAAAAACTAAAGTGGTCATTGTAAAGGGCAATGGAGAGGTATATGGCAAGCTTGAATAGGTTGCAACCATTTCTGATGAGTTTTATAGAAGTGGCATCAAGGACATCATTGGAAGCATATAATAAGAAAACATATGGGATAACTGATGGACAGCGCACCCTGCTCGGTGATTATCTATGCAATGTCATTAAGTCTCAGTGCTTTGGGAAGATATATGTGAGAGTATGGAGACAAGAGTCCCACTGAAGAAAAACTATAAATGTATTGTAATCTGCATTGTTGGAGGGGGTACTAACATTGACTGATCTGTATTCTCATTGAAGTATCAAGTATCCCTAGTACCTGTTGCAGTACCTTGCACCCATGTAGGCACTTACTTAATGTTTGTTGAATTCCTCAATTGTGGCCTATCTCCATGCTTACAAGGCATCATGCTTGTGTCCCTCTTGCCTTTTTCCTGTTTATCTTATATTTGGGAGAAGTAGGAAACTGTTAAGCTTGAAGATGGTTTATATTTTTTTAGATGGATGAATATCATAGGGAATGTGTTAACACTGTAATATATTTCCTAGTAATGATGGCATGATTTTTTTATTTCTTTGATAAAAATAGATTAAAGTTTGGATGCATTTCTCAGTGTTTTTTTTTTTAGTGTGATCAATTAACTGTTGAAATGAAGACATTTTAGAACATAAGCCCATATGCTAGGCCGTGATATAAAGTTATCAACAAGTACTATATCAAAAGTAACTGTAATTATGGGTAAGTCTAAACTTAAAAACAATTCCATGTTACTAGTTAAACCTAATCATGTTAAATTTTAGTCTTTAAAAAAGTGCTGTAATGTAAAGCCTCAAAGCTTTGTGATCTAAAAAGATAATTGAGTATGTTCAGTTTTTTATACCTTGTATGCAAAAATTAGTTTATAATCACTCACCTTAATAAATCTCTATGCCTTTTTGTTTTTAAAATAGGAATAGTCTTATTAAAATGCTTAATTCATGTTTGAGTGTCACTAAGTTCAATGTATTCAAGGTCTTACATTTTAAACTCAGTTCAAGTGCCTTTTTTTCTTTTTTAAAAACTTTACTTTTATTTTGAGTTCCAAATTTTCTCCCTCTCTCCTCCCCTCCCGCACCCTTTGAGAAGGCAATAAATGTGATACACATTATACATAATACAGTCATGCAAAACATATTCTGTGTTAGCCATATTCTGGAAAAAAGAAGCAAGAAAAATAAAGGGAGGAAAAAGTTCAATCTGTAGTCAGATTGTCTATCTTTTTTTATTTGGCGGTGGATATTTTGCATCATGAGTACTTTGGAGTTGTGATGGATCATTGTATTGATCAGAGTTACTCAGTCTTTCACAGTTGATTATTGTTAGAATATTGGTGTTACTGTATAGATTGTTCTGATTCTGCTCACTTTACCTTGGATCAGTTCATGTAAGCCCTCCCAGGTTTAAAAAAAAATCCTTAAATATGTGACATTAATCCAGAAAATTCTTGAATTGTGCAATTTTACAAGTAAGATTTATCATTAACGTAGTATGCCTCATTAAATCTTTAGTTACTTGAGGTGACAGGATTAGAATTATACCTGTCCTTTTGACAAGCATATTTTTTCACATATTATTTTTCTTTCCCATGTCATTTGTAGGTCATGGTAAAACTCCAAAAGATGCAGCCTCAGTTCGTGCCACACATCCTATACCAGCAGCTTGTGGGATTTATTATTTTGAAGTAAAAATTGTCAGTAAGGGAAGAGATGGGTAAGTATAACTAGCATACCTTTTTGTAAGTAAACTACTCTTGTACTTGATATTGTTCTTTTCTGCTATTCACTTTTAAAATTATATAAAGTTGATTTATGTACAAATTTTATGTCTTAGTCTAATTTTTCTACCAAGGTATCAGATTAGACTTTCAGTTAAAATATAGTTCAAACTAAAAATATTCTGAAACAATACTTTGAGGGATGATGGTCTTTTGTAGTTATGGTGTCTGTCTTAGACTGTTTAGAACAGTTTTTTATTCATTGAATAGTCAGAGTGTGAGATTGGAGTGAAACAGGAGAGAGAATTGTTCTTAGTACCTTCCTGTTGCCTTTTTCAAAATGTTGTGGGTTAAGGGGTGGCCACTATCAGATCCCTGTCCCCACTTTGTATTGTAAGGCTGTTAACCCCAGTGGCCTTATTATATACCTAGAGTTCTCTTTAGGGTCTGATATTCCAAGTACCTTGTCAAGTCCTTTCTCCAGATTTATGGAAATTCCAGAGAATTTTGATATGTGAGTGATAGATACTTCTTCAATAGATAGATCAGGAGATGTTCGAGGGTTTTGGCATCATGATCTGGACCATTGGGCAGGTCTTCCCTCCTGCATCAGGAATTCTGTAAAGCCAACATGGGATTTGAGCTGCCTAAATATGTCTTGGACATTCGGTGGCCTGTAGCTAATCTTTGAAAGAAGTGCTAAGCCAAAAAGGTTTTCAACACCTACTCTTCTGTGTTAAATTTGCTGAAGAAATTTATGTAGAAATTTGTTTCTTTGCCTATTTTTTTTAATGTAAAAGCCTTGAGGATTTGGTAACTAGTTCATATTTCTAGGGGATTAATCTGTTTATTTTTCAGGCTATTTTGAAATTGCTGACTAAATTCACTTATTTGAAATAGATTATTTTGAGAGGAAAACTTGGAATTGAGCAATGACTTTCTGTAAACACTTAATGAGAAAGAGCAGCTGCTTGCTGGTCATTATTTTGTTGCTATCTCAGTCTGGAGGTTAAAACCTGTTTTTGATATGGGATTATTTTAAGAATGTTTGGTTGAGTTTTCTGTAAACTAAAGTACATACGAATTTAGATTTGAGTTCTGTTTTAATCTGTGGCATGTTGGCAGCTGGATTTTCTTATAAAATAGCAAGTGAAGGGATAATTGTGAAACGTGTCTTGGGGAGGGAAAGGAGGAAGACAAATTGTTGATTTGAAAAAATTATAGCATATGCATGTGTATTTTTCATTTTGCCTTGATCAACGTAAGAAAATACCAAGAGATGGCTTAGTTTGTCATATTTCTTTTTTATTATGCTAATATTATGACTTTAAAGAAGTTCTTTCTATATATACTAAATTTTGTGTTTGTTTTCATTCTTAAGTTTGTCTAACCTATAGCTTTTGCATGTGATTAGTTTCATAAAATTGATAGGATTGCAGATCATTAGAATGAAAGGGACCTTAGAGATCATCTAGTCTACTTTAGAGGCAGTGCTAGGTGGCATAGTAGATGGGGTGCTGGGCCTGGAGTCAGGAACACCTGAGTTACAATCGGGCCTCGGATGCGTACTAGATGTATGACCCTGAGCAAGTCACTTAACCTCTGTCTGCCTCAGTTTCCTTAACTATGATGAGGATAATAATAGCACCAACCCCTAAGGGTTGTGAGTAGCAAGTGAGATAATATTTATTTGTAAAACACTTACCATAGGGCCTGTGCTTTTATTCCCTCCCTCCTTCAGTACTTTCAGACATGGAAACCAAGACCTTGAGAGATTGATTTGCTCTAGGTTGGTAGAGTGGGGACCTGGACCCAGGTCTTTTTACTCCTAGTCTAATGCTCATTCCTCGTGTAACCCACTCTAAAATAATCTCTCTAAATCTTATTACAAATTAAAAATGTTTCCTTTGTATCTATTTAAATTAAGACAGGCAGACCAAATATTTTTGTTTGCCTTATTCACAGCCACAATAATATCACCTGACCATTTGTATAGTACCTGCTATGTGCAAAGGAGAATGAGTTCTACCTGCTTTAATTTAAATGAGAAATTGTCACTTTAGGTTCCTTTTAAAAATCCTACTTCGGATCAGTTTTTGAAGCATACTATCTTAAGAATGCAGTTTCAGATTAGGAACTAGATCCATATCTAGTTGTGCATGCTAATAAGCTGAACAAAAGTATAAATAATTCAAAGTGTGAGGTATGATCGTGGAATTTATTTGGTTTTGGAACATTTTTCTTTATAGTTGATTGTAAGTATGTAGAGATTTGCCACACTCCACACACAGTAATGAAGCCACTACCCTATAAAGTTGTGACTCCTAGAAGGGTTTTGTTTTTCAGCTTTACTGTCTTGCCTTTCTGTTCTTAACCGCTATTGCTAGAAGTGGTGTACATCACCTATTAGACTCATGCAAAATACCAGCCACAGCAAGCGTGTCGATTTTCACTGAGTTTAATTTCTTTCTGTGTTATGCCTTTTGGGAATGATGGAAGATAATGTCTTTTAGTTTTAAAAGCCTTCCCTTCTATTTCTTGTTGTACTGTAGGCTATAATGTGAACATAAGGGATGGTGGTTGACATCAGCGAAATAGTAAAATAGACACTAAATGACAATGTCAGCAAGAAACTGAAAGTAAGATTTACCAAGTATGAATATAGAAGTAGCAGAGATGATCTATAGCTGACTAGTCATTCCTAATATTGCTTTTTTTTTTTAAAAAATTTTGTCTTCTCTTGCCTACTATAACATTGCTTTAATTTAGTAAGTAATATAAGTATTGCTAGGTAATTTTTAGTGTTTAAAGTGTCTAATTTACAAGTAGGCTATGAGACCTGTGAATCATATTGATGAAATAGAAAATTTGAGTGGTGTAAAAATTACATCTGGAGTGATATTGGGTGTGCTTTTACTTTAGTGTATTTCTCTCAGCAGTATACCTGCCGCCTTTCCTCAGGTATGTGGCAAAGGAAGACTTTGGATATACAGTGAACTTTATTGTAATGGGATTTGACCTCTTGCACTTTTGGGGAGGGGGAGGAATAATGTCAAGTGCCCCTACTCTTGTCAGTAAAACTGATGAAATATTTCTTTATAAGGAAAAAGGTTGTGAAACATTTCTTTAATGGTCAGTGGTCCAAACTTAAAATTTATAGTTACAAATTTTCTGCCTTGAAAGACAATCATTATTGAATTTTCAAATTGCATAAAATGGAATTGCTCCAAGTTTGCTAGGATCACTTAACATACTTCTGGGCTACCTTCATTATTTTGTGCTCTTGTGAGTACATTGGTTTTTAATATTGGCCTGAAAAAAGGCAAATTAGTTTAAAGAAAAATCACATAATACATTTCAAAGCCAAATGTAAGGGTTTTAAAAATTCTTATTTGTGCCTGCTATGTAACAGTGACTACTTGAGGGTAGATAGAAGATTGGACACCCCTGTTCTTTTAACTGAATTCGCTATTATAATGAGACAAGTGACATCCAGGTTCTTCCACCTATTATATGATTTCTAGCAATTTGTAATTAACAACACTATTACAGTTGTCCAGGAACCAGAGAAATAACTGAATATCCATTTTTTTCATATTCAGTAAATACTCCTTTAAAGTCTGTTGTGTGCTTATTAGTATTGTGAATTAAAATGAAATGTTGTGAACGTAAGGGCATATCATGCTCATATGCCTTTTTTTCTATTTTTTTTTACATTGACATCTTTTTTCTGTGTTTTATTTTAATGGGTAGTTGGAAGATTTGGATTTATTTTTATGGTGGAGGTGGTTAAGAAGTTTGAGTTAGAGGTGAGAGGATTGTAATTATAGTTTGCCAGCAGAAGAGTAGTGTTGTGAAGAACTGAGTTTCATCTTTTCTTTCTCATTGTTTTTAGCTTATCATACAGTTTCTTTATGAGAAACTGAGTGAATTAAAGGAGAGGAAGGGGATAGCCTGAAGAAAACCAGAGAAAGCTGGTGGAGAGCATTTGAGTAAAGATTAGTGGAGGGAGAAATGAGCAATTTTGTCTGCTTACTTTACTGATAGACCACCTAGAAAGGTAATAATACATGAGACTTTTGGGAAACATTACAAGCTTGGCACAGAGGCATGATATAATAGAGATGGCCTTCAATTATCCAGATGACCCCAGAACACTTTATTTATGCCAAAGCAGAGCAGCTCATTATATTCTCTCTCTCTCTCTCTCTCTCTCTCTCTCTCTCTCTCTCTCTCTCTCACACACACACACACACACACACACACACACACATCCATCTATCTTATTCTCATTTCACAGGAAGGAACTGGTTGCCCAGATGAGAATTTTAGGATCCTTATGTGGAAATTGTCCTCCATCCCGTGGCATGTGATAAGAGGGAAGAAAAACTAGCCCTCAAGATAATGGTAGAGCAGATTTCAAAGCAGAAGGAGAGATAATCCCGTGGACTAAAATTATATAGGGGAAGTTAGTACTGAAGAGATTGCAGAATTTATAATAATGAAATTATTATCAGAAAGGAAAATGCTAATGAGGAAGAAAAACGGGAGTTGGCTGAAGAGACCAATTTGGATGCCTAGAGACCTTACTAACTTAAGTTTTAAAAAGGCATGTAAAGAATGTGAAAGCAGAGGAGGTTAACAGAATCTATACAAAACCATCATATGGTTCTGGAAAAATACCAGAAGTGCCCGCCCAAGTTCAGAATGAGTATAGGCTGGTGAGGAAAGCTTAAAACAACATGGAAATTTTTAGCTACTTTAGTAAGAGAGAGGATCAAAGGCAGGAGGGAATAAGATTCCCTCCTTGCTTGGGAGAAGAAGTTACAGTGACTATGAGATAAGGCTTGTAGCTGTTGCAGCTGTTTCTGTGTTTCTGTTTTCCCTCCCAAGGAGAATGACCTTTGGATTGGAAGGATAAAATGAAAATGGTCAAATGGGAGTTCTACGGGATCGGAACTGGACTTAGAATTCCTTGTTATAGGGAACCTGGTGA